TGTGTGTGTGTATATATATTTGATATATATATATATATATATATATTGTGTGTGTGTGTGTGTGTGTTTTCTATGGGCAAGCTATGGGCTGGCTGCAACTCGACTAACCTCTCATGAACTTTGCCCTTCTCATCTCCCAGGGTAACAGTGACAGTTCGGACGTTGTGCAGCTCAAAGCCTGGGTCATACTGATGAAAGTCAGAGGTTACCCAGCCCACCCAAACACTGCTGGGCTCCTGACCAGGGAAGATCCGCACAGAATAGTAGTGCTGTACAAAAAGAAGGGTGCAATCTTTCGTCACAACACCTGTATTATGAAACACTAATTCAATGCATGTAATTAAGACCCCTTGGGTAAACACCTCTCTCAGGTACAGGGAATAAACATAATTTGCCAAAATATTATTTTATTAATTCCCAAATCATCTTGTGCATTTTTAGTGTTACGTGCGCTCTTAGAGTGGGGAGCTACTTGCCATCAGTAACATGTATATTACATCATGTGAGTTTTTTGTAATTTTTATTTTGTGTATCTATTATCTTACAGTAGAAGCTTGCATGAGGAATTCATATTCATCTCTGTCATCAGCCATCACTTCCTCTGACACGCGAGCAGATGATGGACAGCTGTTATCTGGCTTGTTTCTCTTTAACATGAACCTGGTGGATTAGATGGTTGATTAAGCCACATCAAGTTCAAAAAACACAATATACAATGACAAAAAGGTACAAAATACTAAAGTGCAAAAGCTGCGTTGAGAAATCAGAGGGTTACCGTTGCTTGAGCTTGGAGGGCTTCTCCTGGTTATAATCTTTGTGGTTGTTGAATTCATCTCTCTCAGGTCCATTGGGACCATTGTGACCGTGAGAAGACTTCATCAGGACCTCAAAGTCTGACACAGTTTCAAAGTCCTCCAGCTCCTGCTAGAAACAGACAGTGAACACACCACACATATTTTCAATCATAAACACAACCGTACAGTTAACACCTTCAGCTGAATGTGAGCGGTAAATGGTGATGTGGAGAGGTTCCCAATTGTTGTGAATTGCAGAGATATATAAAATCAGCAAACTTGTTGACTGCTGGTGTCATTTTAGCTGTCACCTAAAGGTTTAAAGATATATAGTTAAAAACTGTGCTCCAACCTATGGGATATTTATGTTGTGCTTATTTCATGTACTGTTGCATTGCTGGGTCTTTGATAAACCAAATCTATCTATCAACAGTCATAAAACATTATCAATGTGACTTTTAGTGAATTACAAGTGACAAGTGTCAATGTTCTGGCTAGTTACACTAGAGGTTGGTTGATGGGGCTTCTAATGCATTATGAATATCTCTACACATCAGTCAATAATCAACTGTTGCAAGGACTCGTAATATGTAATAATAGTCCATGCAGTATCATAAGTTATCACTGTACGTGTTAAGTGAAGTGAAGATGCACCTATAATAACACATGCTTCATCTTAACATTTCATTGTTGGTGGTAAAGTGTAATACATTTTCATGCATATAGAATTAATGCTGCATAATAACCGATTAATGCCTACCATATATTGGGATAATTTTAAAAGACTTTTGAAAAAACTTTAAAGTCTGGCACTTCTCACAATTGAAGACAATTTGTCGTATGTTAGCAAGCTTCTAGTCACAGAATCAGATTTTGCAAAGACTGGGCATCCTGCAGGGTCACTGTTTCCAAGATTGCCAACTTACAAATGGAATAAAGTGGAGAGAAACTGTTGCAGCCCTCAAAATCCCCAGTAAAGATGCCATATGCTGTAACTAGCTAGCAAGCTAACCACTGTTCCCATCCCAAACAGGGTTACTTCTTAGCTAACTTCTTAGCAACTGGAATGCGTGCTATTAGTCCATGACCTAACTGTACATTTCAGCTAAAGACTTCTAGCCATATCCATCTATATCTCTACATAGTTATATGATAACGTGTGATTTTTGAAGCTAGCAGTCTACTAGCAAACATTCCAGTAGCTAATGCTAGCTTACAAGTAGCCACTACAGCGGTTCGCTAGCTAGCTATAACATACTTACCAGGGATTTTGAGAGCTGTCCACTTTCTTCCTTCTTCACGCTTTCATGGTACAAATGGGAGGACATTTCAAAGAGGCAGTCTTGTTCACTCCACAGCTCCTTCTTTTCCTTCTTTTCCACAGTAACTTTACATGTCACAATTCACAGTTAAAAACAGGACTCACATTCAGTACGCCAGGCAGGCAGGTAAAATCAACAAAAAGAGAGCTTTAATGAAATAAAACTAATACCAGACAAAGACAAAAACAGGCAGGCAACAAAACGAGAGAGACAGCAGGACCATAAACAAACCTGTAACAGTTACTGGAACAAGGAACACAAAGAGGGAATTCAACAAGTGACCAACACAGACAGACTGACAAAAGAAAAAGGGAGCACAAGGACTAAATTTATAAGGAGAGCAGAGATATAACGAGGGACAGGTGATAGCAGGGTTGATGATTAACAGGTAAAACAAATCAGGGCCTGGCAGACAATAATCACAAAGGCAGAGGCAGGAAGTAAAACCAGACACTACACATGAGGAATGAAGCTACAAAATAAAACAGGAGGTCAAACATGAATGAACAACACCAAAACACAACAAACAGAAACTCAAAACCCAGAAAACAAAGATAAATGACTACCAACAAAAACTACAAACAAAAACCCCGGACCGTGACAGTTCAAGAGAAATGTGGCTAAATCATAGACTGTATCCACCTTGATCCTGAGGGCGCTACTGTAGAAATGATTACGGGTGCAACTTCTGGCAAGATAATGTCCGTCACACACATAAATCATGCAAGACATCATGATGGCACTTCAACCAAAGCAAAAAAAAAAACAACACATGACAGTACAGTTGTATCGGCCAGTCGCAGTTCAGTAGGACAGGACATGCTTGGGAAACTGACTGTACATGTGACTTTGTCTATTTTCTTGTACTGTTGAAAAGGAGGAGAAAGAAGTTGTACAAGGCTGCCTCTTTGACCTGTCCTCCCATTTGTACAACGATAGCATTGGGAAGGAAGGAACTGGACAGAAATTGCTGCAGCCCTCAAAATCCCCAGTGTTTGTTAGTAGTATACCAGCTAAACGTGTGCTTCAGCTGAAGACTGCTAGCTTAAAAATAATAATTTATGCGGTAAGCTTACAATCTTCAGCTGAAATGTATAGTTAGCTCGTGGACTAATAGCAAACTTCCCAGTAGCTAACATTAGCTCACAAGAAGCACTGTTTGGGATGGGACAGTGTTAGTGAGATAGTTATAGCATAACAGTTACTCACTGGAGATTACAAAGGCCAACAACAATTTCTGTCCTATTTTTTCCTTTTTGAAGCTAGCAATCCTGCCAGTACTGATCCTGAAAGATCCCCAATCTTTGCAAAGTCTTGTTCTGTGACTAAATACTTATGACTTATGACACATTGTCTTTAGATGTCAGATGGTTTACAAGTATAAACAGGGTTGCCAACTTTAAGCCAACACATAAAATTTTTGTTTGTCAACTGATTTGGTAGATCCTGATCCCCCGCATCCTAACAGATTTTTGGGGCCCCTGCTGGAGATGGATAGGGCCTAATACTTTACATACAAATACCATACAGAGAGAGACAATGGTGGTATAATGGGGGTCTGGTGGTCCTCCCCCAGAAAATTTTGGATGGGGTAGATGCGATATCCTGCATTATGGTGGGTTTAGGGGTAGCATTCTGGAGATGGGCATTCATTCAAAGCCACCCTGACTTGCAGGGCCTTCACAAGTGAACCTGCATTCAGCTCAGAGTGACTGCACTAGTGAAAACCACAAACTAGGACTTGCCTATGTGGCATGTAGTCTATTACTTTGTAGACACAAGACTCATTTTGGATTTAAAGCAAAATTCATGGTTGAAATGGTTGAATATATTTTGATTACGATCTAAATAAAATATTATTTTGGGAATAATAATAATATATTTTGTGTATTACTGTAGTCTAAAGAGCATTTCATGATCTATTTCTAGACTATTCAAGTCTAAGATTCATTTCAGTTTTGACATTTACAAGTCTTTTCAAAGTATTTAATGCATAGTAGGCATGAATAACTTATGATGCACCACAGATTCTTTTAAGTGCATGAAAATGCGTTACACCTTATTTACCAGGCCAACAAAGAAACATCATAATGAAGCATGCAGGATTACAGATGCAATGTACTTCACCTACTTGTATTTACTTATAATACTGCATAGACTATTATAGCATACTATGAGGCCTTGATTGTTTAGGTGAGTATAGGTATTCATAATGCATCATTAGCCCCATCAGTCAACTTTTAGTTAATGACTAGTCAAGAGCATCCATTACACACTTGATGCTCTTGAATTTACTGTCACATCTACAATGTTTTATGACTGTTGATATAGAGCGTTAGTAAGCCTAATGTATGTTAATAGCCATAGTGCTGCCATAAAGCAATATGAATGCATTATATTTCACCATGAATGCTCTCATAATGTACTATAGATGAGGTCTTCATTAATAGTGTTCTCCAATTTACTTTACATGCTAACTGATTGAGGCAGTGGTAGATTAGCACCTCCTATGATCTGCAAAATAAAATAAAGTTTTCTGAGTAGAAACTGGTGACTTTAAGATAATGGCTTGAGTTCCCCACCAGAAAGAGCTGTCTGACTGCAAGGTAAAGCAATGAAAATATTTTAACTATGATGTAAACTTAAACTGACTGACTTTTAAGTGGCTAAAAACTAGCCATTTGAGACAGCGTTTGCTCAGTGCTGTTTCATTTATGTACTGGGCATGGGGGGTTTCTACCCAATTGTAAAAAAACAAAACAAAACAAAACAAAAAATATTGTGAATCAGTCTATACAATGAATTTCACTGGGGCAGTGGAGGAAACAGATGGATCGCATTTAGGACTTGTTTTAGACACAAAGTATCTGTCTGTCAATCTCAACACACACACACACACACACACACACACACACACACACATATCTCCGACACGACACGTGTATATATGAGTACATGTCAGTGTGTTTGTGGCACTGTTACCCTCTTTGGTGAGAAGAGGCTATCATTCGTTGGGGATCTGGAGAAGGATTCTGCACACTCTATGGGCATGCTCAGTCTGTAGAAAGTAATGTCAGTGTAACTGTTCTGTGAGCCAAATGACCTCTGGGTGACCTTTAGGCAAGGACATGACTCCACTGTCCCATCTATCCTTGTCACCTAAGAACAGAGGAAAAAATAAAACAACATTAGTTTTGTCTGTACTCTCATTTTTCAGCAGTCTATTGAACAGTTTTGGAGGAAAAAGCATACAAGACAAAAACATACAGTACAGGCCAAAAGTTTGGACACACCTTCTCATTCAATGCGTTTTCTTTATTTTCATGACTATTTACATTGTAGATTCTCACTGAAGGCATCAAAACTATGAATGAACACATGTGGAGTTATGTACTTAACAAAAAAAGGTGAAATAACTGAAAACATGTTTTATATTCTAGTTTCTTCAAAATAGCCACCCTTTGCTCTGATTACTGCTTTGCACACTCTTGGCATTCTCTCCATGAGCTTCAAGAGGTAGTCACCTGAAATGGTTTCCACTTCACAGGTGTGCCTTATCAGGGTTAATTAGTGGAATTTCTTGCTTTATCAATGGGGTTGGGACCATCAGTTGTGTTGTGCAGAAGTCAGGTTAATACACAGCCGACAGCCCTATTGGACAACTGTTAAAATTCATATTATGGCAAGAACCAATCAGCTAACTAAAGAAAAACGAGTGGCCATCATTACTTTAAGAAATGAAGGTCAGTCAGTCCGGAAAATTGCAAAAACTTTAAATGTGTCCCCAAGTGGAGTCGCAAAAACCATCAAGCGCTACAACCAAACTGGCACACATGAGGACCGACCCAGGAAAGGAAGACCAAGAGTCACCTCTGCTTCTGAGGATAAGTTCATCCGAGTCACCAGCCTCAGAAATCGCAAGTTAACAGCAGCTCAGATCAGAGACCAGATGAATGCCACACAGAGTTCTAGCAGCAGACCCATCTCTAGAACAACTGTTAAGAGGAGACTGCGCCAATCAGGCCTTCATGGTCAAATAGCTGCTAGGAAACCACTGCTAAGGAGAGGCAACAAGCAGAAGAGATTTGTTTGGGCCAAGAAACACAAGGAATGGACATTAGACCAGTGGAAATCTGTGCTTTGGTCTGATGAGTCCAAATTTGAGATCTTTGGTTCCAACCGCCGTGTCTTTGTGAGACGCAGAAAAGGTGAACGGATGGATTCCACATGCCTGGTTCCCACTGTGAAGCATGGAGGAGGAGGTGTGATGGTGTGGGGGTGTTTTGCTGGTGACACTGTTGGGGATTTATTCAAAATTGAAGGCACACTGAACCAGCATGGCTACCACAGCATCCTGCAGCGACATGCCATCCCATCCGGTTTGCGTTTAGTTGGACCATCATTTATTTTTCAACAGGACAATGACCCCAAACACACCTCCAGGCTGTGTAAGGGCTATTTGACCAAGAAGGAGAGTGATGGAGTGCTGCGGCAGATGACCTGGCCTCCACAGTCACCGGACCTGAACCCAATCTAGATGGTTTGGGGTGAGCTGGACCGCAGAGTGAAGGCAAAGGGGCCAACAAGTGCTAAACACCTCTGGGAACTCCTTCAAGACTGTTGGAAAACCATTTCAGGTGACTACCTCTTGTAGCTCATGGAGAGAATGCCAAGAGTGTGCAAAGCAGTAATCAGAGCAAAGGGTGGCTATTTTGAAGAAACTTGAATATAAAACATGTTTTCAGTTATTTCACCTTTTTTTGTTAAGTACATAACTCCACATGTGTTCATTCATAGTTTTGATGCCTTCAGTGAGAATCTACAATGTAAATAGTCATGAAAATAAAGAAAACGCATTGAATGAGAAGGTGTGTCCAAACTTTTGGCCTGTACTGTATTTAGAAATGTTTTACAATGTGTCTGAAGGGATTGCATGTCAGGCCAATGCCATCTGAAATTCTACCAAAAAAACCCCAGCAGATTCTACCAGGTACTAGTTAAATGGGATGTGAGGGTGTACCACAGATGACTCCCCTCACCTCTATGTGCTGGTGGTTGGGTGGTACAGGAACAAACTGAGGAAGCCTCTTGCTGAGCCACATGGTGACGTCTCGGTTCATATTGACAGCAAACGGTTCGTAACCTTCCTGCAAGCCACAGATGGTGAAGTACTTCAGGGTGCTCACGTCTTTACCGAAGTTCATTCTTCCCACTTGACACGAACCAAGACTGCACACTGGGATAAAACCTGGAGACCAACAGAAAAAGTCAAATACTAAGATGACGCTTTTTGTGCATTACTACCTGTGACACTATGTATAGAGGAACCTTTTAATGGATCATTTGTGCAACTCAGTATTCACCTAATCAATTGAGAAATTGTGGAGATATCCTCTGAGGTTGGGAGGTTTGTCAGCTGGTGTGATGGTACATACTAAGCTTCAACACTTATAATAACAAGCACATACTGAGCTGTTTCTATAATTGACATTTGCCTTGTTTTAAAGGGTTTTTAAAAGAAGCAGAGGAAGAGGTTCCAACTGTTCTTCAGTATGATGGGGATCATTGTTAGTCAAGGCTACAAAGCAGTGCAACGTTAAAGTTGTGTGTGTCGTCAACAACGCAGCACTGACCTTCACCCACTTCAAAGTCCTTGAAGGCCAGCTCAGATCCAGAGTCATCCAGCAGCACTTCTCCATTAAGTGTGAACATCATGGTGTGTTCGTTAAGATCCACCATGCAACCCACCACGTCCCCTGTCTGCCAGGCACGCCCAAAATGCTCATTACCCTGGTGCCAACGCTGGACCTAAAAATAACGTTTTAAAAATTCCAATTTATGACTAATTTGGACCACTGCAGTGCCAAGAAACTGAACAAATGGAGTGTGTACAGCACAGGAAAACCCAGCCACCTTGAAACCATCAAAGACAAAGGCCTGGTCATCAGATCCCAGCTCCTGGTCTGGGAGGCATCCGGGCCTGGCCCAGCCCACCCTCATCTCTCCTGCTGTTAATACCTGGAAGAGAAGCATGAATGGGGTAATATCAAGTTTAGGAACAGTAAAACAACAGTAAAAGCTTGGAGTGAGAGCAATAGCCACACCCTGTAGTCTGTTGGTCTTTTGTCATATTTGACACTAAACAAGATATATTGTCTTTGTGACCAAGAAACAAGTGAGAAATAGTAACAACATTTGAGGAAAGGTTTTAAAAACCGATCCATGCCATAGTACTACCCAGTACACTTAAGATCAAAATAGGGCATTGTGAAGGGTCTTAGGTTAAGCCAAATACTTTGTCACATCCTAATACTTAACATCATAACATACAGTACTGTTCAAAGTTTGGAATCACTTGCTATGTTGATGTTTTTCTTTTTTCCTTTAGAAATAGCTCTTTTAACAGATACAATTGTGTAATCAAACGCCAAATTTAAAAAGTACATTTAAAATAGTTTTACCCCCCAAAAAGAAGAATTAAATAATTCAAATAATGTTTTAGTTGATGTTCCCTCAGGATTGTATGATAGGGGAAAATACTGCCCAAATACCCTTCAATTTTGAATTTGTTTGCTAGTCCAGAAAAGCACAAGTGACCCTGGGTATTTTTGTGAGCCCATTTTTCTTTGGGCCCTCTGCAGTCTACTTAGTGTTTGGAATGAATAAGTTCAAGCTGTGAATTGTCAGTCTGTAGTATGTTCAGTTGATATTCTAATAGTGCTAAGCCAAGACTAACCTTTTTATTTTGAAGTTTGAAGAAGAGCTTTGTTAAAGCAACACCTTGCGTGTTAATTCCAGCTTGCTGTAGGCATTATTGCGCACTTGACACTGACACAGGAACCTCTTCCTATTCAAATCTATACACATTTTGATGCTAAGCTTCCAGAACCCTTCATACAGATAACATTCATTTGTATGGAGGACTTTCTACAACCTAAAAGCACAAAAGACCACTCAGAAATGCAGAATGTTCCTCTCTTCAGCCATCTCTCTGAACCCAGTCAGGCTTTCTGGCAGGAGATTCCAAACTTTTTAACGGTAATGTATATTTCAGAGCAATACTACCATAGCTCTGATCATCCATCTTCTTACCTCCAGCTCAAAGTACCACTTTCCTGCATTAACACAGTAGGTTTTTTCTGCTCTGAAAATACGGAACCTCTCAGCAGATACGTTGTTGTGGTCAGATTGAGCTGCTGGATAAAAAGAAGGTGGGTGGGTGGGGGGTGGGGTGGGGGTGGGGTGTAGACAATGTAATCAGCAATCTCATGGGTACATTATCACTCAAAGAGTAAAATATACAAATACCCCTAAAAATGAAAACTCATAGAATGAAGCCTTTCAATAAAGACATGTATTGTACCGTGGTCCTGGTCAGGAGCCTCCAGGTTGTATCCATATCCAAGCAAAGTCCTAACAGCCTCTCTCAGACTGTCTTTGTTGGACTTCTTGGTTCTCTCATCCAACAGGATATAGGGGACCAGACGAGGGTTTCTACGATTCTTCACATCCTAAAGGGAGACAAAGGCCAGGAGAATATAAATTCAATAACCAATTAGTTAAGGAAAGCAGTGCTGGGTGGGGAAAGTGAAACAGTAGTGCTTACCCCTCCCTTATTACCATCACTGAGCTGCCTATGGGCAAGACAAGTTAATCCCTTAAAGATGTAACAGAGCAGCAAACAAACTGCAAGACATCAGCTTGCTTAGGGTATGGAGATCACCATTGGTTCTAGTCAGCCAACTGGATGAACTGGGTAAAGCATTTTATCATTAGTGTTCCACATTCACAAGCCACTCAGAGTGGTGTTTTAGTATTAAAGTTGATCTTGGTCTCGAGACCACCTTTTGAACCTTTCAGTCTTATCTTGGAATCAACTGCATTTTTACTTGGTCTTGTTTTGATCTCAGACAGAGAGGACTCTGGATTTTATTTCAAGCCTGGACAAGACCACAACTGTGGAGATATTATTAAATTCCCTCTGCATCGTTTGATTTAATTGTTAAGATCATGACTGCTTCAGATGCAACAAATAACTTGACTCGTTTCTGGTTTTTAATTTTTGTTACTATTAAGGGCTCTGCCCTTCCCACATACTCCAAGAAAGTGAATGCAGGACAAAGGAGAAAAAGCTGTGGCTGTCTGGGAGGAGATGTTAGCCACATCTTTGGCATTTTTTTTTTTTGTTTTTTTTTTTTGCTTGGCTCAATTTGAGAAGTGTCTATGGTTTGCATGTTGCCCGTTTTATCTTGTTAAATGCAATACAGGACGAACTGGTCTGAACTTGGTCTCATCTTGGTCTCAACCTGCCTTGGTCTTGATCTTAACTTAGTCTCAACTCCTCAAAGTCTTGGTCTTGTCTCAGTGTCGACACGCTGAGAGTATTATCAAATGGGGATATTGCCTCTGAAAGAAAAAAAGCAACCTATGTATATTCTGGGCTACCTGTTTAAAGATGCAGCTGTCAGTGTCATCTTACAACTGATATGCCTTTTTGTTGCTACTGTTTTGTTCCCCTCTTAGTTTAACGTAGTGCACCTCAGTTTGACTTTTCAGGCTCAGGGTTCCTCCCTACTAAGATGGCATGGCTCATTCCTAAAAGAGGAGGGCGTATTTTCAAACTGTGCTGGACTTGACCTTTTCCAGACATCTGCCCACCACCAAACTTTAATGTTGTTACAGGTTGAGATGAAGCTGATTTTAGGTGCTTTATAAACTGCTGAGTCATATAGTCCAAAACATTGCATCACTTGTCAAAATGTTGTGTCAAAAATGTAGTGGAGTAAAAAGTACAATATTTCCCTGTAAAATAAAGTTCAGTATAAAAGCAAGAGACACAAGCAACTAAAAGTGGTACTTGGTCTCGGGTAGACATGCTTAGTTACATTTCACTACTTCAAGTAAGTCTTTAGACTTTACTCCTTTATGGTCTTCAGACTTGACTCAAACTCAGTCATAATGAATGATGAACTGTGCGATCTGTCATTGACCTTATGAATTAACACAACAACAACACTAACACACAGGACAGCTAGGGATTTAGTGACAGTAGCAAAGGAGACCACATTGCTCCCTGTCAACACATTAAAAAACCCACATACAGAGCCAAGTATTTAATATGCATCACAGTCTCCTACCTGTTGGATGCCATAGGTCCAGCCCTGGCGGATGCGATCTCTTGCCCAGACGTTGTGTGCATTCTCAGCCAGTTTGTCCACCATGGCCTCCTGGGTGGAGGTCAGTTTGATGTGACTCAGGTCCAAAGGAGCAGGTTTATAACCACCGGACAACTCATAGCTGCACAGACAGATGTGAATCACTGAATTGTTAGCTAGCCAGCTGCTCAATAACCTTCATGTATTCATGTGTAAGAGCTCTTCAAGACCATTTTTTCCAGTTTCTGCCTTAGTCATCACCTTATAAAATGTCCCTTGTCTCAATCATCTTATCACTACATCATGTAAGTATTATTCCGCATCCTGTGCATTATTTACAGTTGCATGCAAAAATTTGGGCACCTCTGTTCAAAATTTTGTTTACTGTAAGTAGTTAACTGAGTAGAGGATAAATTGATTTCCAAAAGGCATAAAATTAGAGATGACACATTTCATCATCTTTTGCTTTGCTTCATCTAATCTTTTGTAGTCTCAAAACAACAAAAAAGGAAAAGGGCATGAAGCATGGTCAGTATTTAGTAGCACCCCCTTTGGCAAGTATCACAGGCTTTAATGCTTTTTGTAACCAGCTAAGAGTCTTTCAATTCTTGTTTGGGGGATTTTTGCCCATTCTTCCGGCAAAAGGCTTCTAGTTCTGTGAGATTCTTGGGCCGTCTTGCATGTCCTGTTGTAGAAGCCATCCTCTATTCATCTTCAGTATTTTTACAGATGCTGTGATGTTTGCTTCCAGAATTTGCTGAAATTTAACTGAATCCATTCTTCCCTCTACCAGTGAAATGTCCCCCCTGCCACTGGTTGCAACACAAGCCCAAAGCATGATCGATCCACCCCCATGTTTAACAGTTGAACAGGTTCTTTTTATGAAATTATACACCCTTTTTCTCTCCAAACACACCTTCCTCATTGCCTTTAAAAGGTTCGTTTTTAACTTAATCAGTCCAAAGGACCTGTGTCCAAACAACATCAAGCTTGTTTTGATGTTCCTTTGCAAACTTCTGACGCTGGGTTTTGTAGTGAGGACACAGGAAAGGTTTTCCTCTGATAACTCTTCCATGAAGGTAATATTGGTACAGGTGTCACTGCACAGTAGAACAGTGCACCACCACTCCAGAGTCTGCTAAATCTTCCTGCAGGTCTTTTGCAGTCAAACGGGTGTTTTAATTAGCCTTTCTAACAACCCTACGAGCAGCTGTCTCGGAAAGTCAACTTGGTCTTCCAGATCTCAACTTGACCTCCACAGTTCCTGTTTACTGCCATTTCTTAATTACATTACAAACTGAGGAAACAGCTACCTGAAAACACTTTGCTTTCTTCTTATACCATTCTCCTGTTTTGTGGGCATCAGTTTTTTTAGTTTTCCGAGTGCTAGGCAGCTGTTTAGAGGAGCCCATGGCTGCTGATTGATGGGACAGAGTTTCAGGAGTCAGAATGTGTATAAAGCTCTGAAATTTGCATCACCTGGCCTTTCCTAATGATGACTGTGAACAAGCCAGAGTTCTAACAAGGTCTGAGACCCTGGTAAAAGTTGTCTAAGAGCTCAAATGTCAAAGGGTGCCCAAACTTTTGCATGGTGCTCCTTTCCTTTATTCACTCTAAAATTGTACATAACAAAAATAATACACTGATCTTGCTTACAATGTTGAAAAATATATTCTATTTCTAACATCATGCCTTTTGGAGATATGTTCATCTTCCACGTACTTAACTACTCACAGTAAATGGCATTTTGACCATGGGTGCCCAAACTCTATTTTTTTATAATAATGATAGTTGAGGTGACTTACGTCGGTGACAGTTTCATGCTCTTGACTTTCTCTACAGCATGTTCATCTGCTAGGCCAACATGGCAGCCTAAGGCCAGGAGAGTTCTGCAACACACACACAAACACAAATGACCAAACATGCAATCTATTGTTCAGGTGTGTGATATTGACCCAAACATGTTACCATCACCCATACTCCTACATACTACATGGAGACTTACTTGGTGAGTTTACTGCCTTGTCAACAGAAAGAATCTTAGAGTTTGGTCATGTACAGTATGAACACAGGGCTTAATGGTGTCACAGATAAATATTTGATCTAAATGCCATTTAATATGTTGCTCACTGCGCTAAAGCATTACTTGAGAGTCTCCAGAGACATCTGTAAGTTGTAGCTTCGTTCTTGTTCAGGAAGCTTGGAGAACTCCACCAGACAGGGGTGTTGCCGCTTGTTATCATCTCGCACCTGAAACACACATAGATGCACGTATAAAAAAGCAAAGGTTAGAACAGTTATAGAGCCTGTTGCTTGGCCACCTTTAATCTCAGGACACAGAACAATGGGACACTTGGATGCATGTAGTTATACAACTGGAGTTACATCCACATCACTTCAACGTCTGTAGTGCTCCACTCTCCACAAGATTTCAGCACTGATTGCTTGGGATGTGTTGCGTAGTGTCTGAACTTATTGTGAGAAGTACCAGGCCCAGCATCTGACTGGGCAACAAGTGAGAACCCTTCTGGGGCTGTGGCTGTGCTGGTGTATCAGTCTGAGCCAGACAGCAGCAGCTGCACTGAGCACTGAGTGAGCCACAGAGTTGGATATGACTGACTGCCTGGATTTGGTGTAGATGTGACTGCAGAGCCTGGAGAATTCTGGATTTAATGGAAGATGTAATGACCTTGAGTTGGAGGGCTGAAGCTCTGCCAGATAAGCATGCAGCCTCAGCCTGTTGGGAAGGTGTCGCTTAACACATGTGGTGGTGGATAATGAAAATGAACTGAATCTCACAGAGGCAACTGTGACAATTCTAAAAGGTGATGTCGCCCAATGTCAGGATTTGAGAGCCTCCTCCTCATGAGCTATTACTGCTGCTTTGGTGATAAACACGTCAAATAAGCTGGACTAGTCTGCTATAAAGTCATGGACTGGTGAGCAAGCGACTCAAGCGGGTGTGTTTGGCCCATTTAATGCAGTTCATATCCCATTACAACATGTCTTCTTTTCCTTTTAAGTATGTCATCATTACATGGTGTTAGAAAGGATAGTCTTTTGTATTATGTTATTTAGGCTTGGTGATATATGACAAGGGGCGGCACGGTGGTGTGGTGGTTAGCACTGTCGCCTCACAGCAAGAGGGTTCCTGGTTCGATCCCGGGTGTGGGAGGCCCTCTGTGGAGTTTGCATGTTCTCCCCATGTCAGTGTGGGTTTTCTCCGGGTACTCCGGCTTCCTCCCACCATCCAGAGACATGGAGACTGGGGATAGGTTAATTGGTGACTCTAAATTGTCTGTAGGCGTGAATGGCTGTCTGTCTCTACATGTCAGCCCTGTCTGGTGACCTGTCCAAGGTGTACCCCGCAACCCTCACGAGGATAAGCAGTTAGAAAATGGATGGATGGATATATAACAAAGATCAAATGCAACACTTGTTTTTCGCTCCCATTTTTCAAAGGATGGAGTTAAAGATGCAAGACTTTTGATGTACTATATAGATATATTTCTCTCAAATTCTGAAAAAGGTGTTAAATTCAGTGTTAGTGAGCACTTCTCCTTTTTCAAGATAATCCATCCACCTGACAAGGGTGGCATATCAACATGCTGAATAAAAAACATCATTAGTACACAGGTGTGCCTTGAGATGGTTAGTAATTCTTAGATCATTCACTTGAACCTATGGAAAATGGGAGCAAAAACAAAAGTTTCTGTTTGAATTTTTTTTCAGTATATTTTGAGGCAATTAATAATTGTACAGTGTTGTATTAGGAAGGCCAACCCTTTTTGCACTGTCTTATATATTGATATAGTTTTATTTTAAGGCAGTTACAGTCTACTGCAGTGCTGTCCTGATTCTCCTATTGAACTTGTTTTGTGCTCATATATGGGAACATGTAAGGTTTAACATTATATTATTGTTACATTGCAAGTACCTATGTGACAGTGCTTCTCAGGTTATGTTGCAGAGTAACACAAAAGTCATGTAACAAGTAGTAACAAATTATTTTCTACAGGGAGAAAAAGTAAAGTAAAGTAAAGTGTTACTTTTTTAAAGTAACAAGTACTGTACTTTTTTGAGTTACAATAACAATGCTGGTAGTCACAGACAGTTCTGTTATCCCATTCAGACATGACAGCACATTTAGGAACAAGATGCATTTGGCACCTGTTGTGATGTTACTGCTGGAAAACAGTATGGCTGGATTGACAGATGTCTCAACCTATTTTTCTGTCGAGGCCCTCATTTTTATTAATTAATAAAATCAAATATAGGCACAGCCTATCCCAGCTGAGAGACAGATAACCATCCACACTCACATTCACACCTATTTAGAGTCACCAGTGAACCTAGCCTGCATGTCTTTGGACGGTGGGAGAAAGCTGGAGTACCCGAAGAAAACCTACACTGACACGGGGTAGAACATGCACAACTCCACACACGGGAGGGGCCCCACCCCCAGTTCAAACCAGGAACCCTCTTGTTGTGAGGCGACAATGCAAACCACTGCATCCCTGTACCACCAGACCTTTATTTTAATGAATCCTAATTTCAAATCCATTTTATCTGCATTTTAATCATGTTAGAAAAATAATTATGTTGAGTTCTTTGAAAGGCACCGAAGCACTGAATGACAGGATGTTAAGTTGGACTTGTTAAGTCTTATTTGCTCACAAGCTGTATGTAAAGTGCTTAGCTTGATATTCATTTAGTCATCCACAAAGTTAGCATAAAAGTTTAAAATACAAGGAAAGAGACAGTGGGTCTGATTATTCCTGTGGCTAAACAAACTGCTTTTTTCTTTTTACTTCTTTAGTGGGCACGGTGAACAGGAAAAAGGATTTATATAGACTGATCGGACATGAGAGGAATCTCACTAATTAGCTCAATCACATTTTTCATTGTTTAACTTATCTTTTTTTCTTTGAGCATAGGATTACACTCTCATAAGCAAGTTAAAACAGCTCTTAATTAGTGGAACAAGACACACATTTAATTTCTCTCTCTGCATGTTCAACCTCTTGCAGCTTTTACATTAATCTGATGGCATTCAGTTCAAAGTTGTGCGTTGAAAGTGACCCGAAAATGTTACAAGTCCAACCTGCCAAACTGTGATGACTTTTACATATATAAGCATTTGGGGCGCTTATTCAAACAGAGGAACATGTTAAATTGCCATCAGATCAATGTTAAGCAGAACGTGCCTGAAAGGGGCTTAGAATCAATGTTTTATACATAGTATTGATCTGTTTGTCTGATACTCACCACACCGTAGGTCCAGCCCAATTCTATCTTGTTCATCACCCACAGTTCATGGATGTTTTCTGCAAGCTTCTCCCTGATCCTCTCCAAGTGAGGTGGCAGCACAATCTATACACACAGAGAAAAACAAGCTATGTAATCATTTTGGACATCACTCTTCTGTTGCTTCAGTCTGGCTCTGCTCTGTTTGGTTTGATTGACAGAAAACACAATATCATGAACACTGGCATGGAAAAAAACATTCATTGGGTACGATCCGCACTAAAACAGATTCTGGAAAGGAGACTGGAAGAAAACTGCCATTTCTTAATTACATTACGACCTGATGAAACAGCTACCTGAAAACACTTTGCTATCTTCTTATAACCTTCTCCTGCTTTGTGGGCATCAGATATTTTAGTTTTCAGAGTGTTATGCAGCTGTTTAGAGGAGCCCATGGCTGCTGATTGATGGAACAAGGTTTCAGGAGTCAGTATTTATAAAGCTTTTCATTTTGCATCACCTGGCCTTTCCTAAAGATGATTGTGAACAAGACATAGCCCTAACAAGCTAATTATGGTCTGAGACCCTGGTAAAAGCTGTCTGAGAGCTCAAATGTCTTGGGGTGCCCAAACGTTTGCATGGTGCTCCTTTCCTTTTTTTCACTCTAAAATTGCATAAAACAAAAATAATACTCTGATCTTTCTTAAAATGTTGACAATCATGTTAAATCTTTAACTTCATGCCTTTTGGACATCACTTAATTAACTATTCACAGTAAAAGAAATTTTGACCGTGGGTGCCCAAACTTTTGCATGCCACTGTAAAGGTGAATGAATTTACAAACTGATAAACCTAAATCAAAATGATCCTAAGTTAACTAATAAAGCATGATGAAATAACATAATTCACACTAAAGAAATATTTAAAATATTATAGAAGATTTTGTCACTATTTGATTGTTTCATTATCTATTTATGTCTGTATTTATTCATATGATTATTTATTTCATAATGTCTTATGTATCTAATATTGCGCACTCTATGCTGCTAACAGGTGTGGCAGTGGTGTGTACCTGGCTGGTGTCCACAGGTGTGGGGGTGAATGCTGCCTGGCTCAAGGTGACAGTGGGTCCCAGCAGGTCTCTGGCTGCAGTCTGGTCCTGACTGGCCTCCAGTTTCAGTTTCTCCCTGGGTAACACCGCCTCATAGCAGGGAGCGTAACCTGGAGGGGGGAGGAACTTAAACTCCCCATGACGACCCCCAAGGAGGAAGCGCACCCTGCAGGGCGACAGATGACACGAGAAGGAATCAAGGAGGAGAAGTTATGTTTTGAAGGGTGTGATTACAACAACGCAACATTTTTTAATTTTCCAAACATCAAAGGAAACAGTCTGTACAACCACCAAACCCAGTGAGTTAATTAAATAACTTTAGACCTTTTTTGTGAATATGGCTGGTCAGATTCCAGCATTTTTGACAATTTGCAAACAAGTATATTAATAGAGGTATAAGCTATATGGGTAAAAATACATCTAAATAGCAGTAGGCAATACCACAAAATTTGGTTTTGATCCAATAGAAGTAATACAGGGCCAGAATCAATACCGATATGATACTTTTTATTATTGAATTTCATTTTATTTATTTTTTTAATGTGGGGGAAAGCGGTACGCCATCATTGATGTAGTACTTAAGTAACAGCAAGTGATGATCAATTACAATTTGAAAATGTAACATTACCAATGCTGAAGATCTGATTTGACTAAAATATTAATTTCACTAGGCTACTATATATTTGGATATTCTTTGAGCCTCTCTGAAAAGACTCCCAGTGAACTCAGAGGTCTGGATGCTGAGGCGTTTCCCTCCTTCTCCCCACTTTTCAGTTCTCTTTCTCAGGCTTTTTCCTCTTTTGTTAAGCCATCACTGCTATAATGTGTGTATGATAAAACTAGTCAGACTTGCACATACTATCCACATTGAATATCTGGGGACAGTTATGGTCACACGGATGTGCATGCAGTTCTATTTATAGTACAACTAAGTGTATGCGTCAGCCCACAGCAGTTAACAGGAGGGCTGGGAGGTGAGCTTACCATCCTACTGCTGACATTGGTAAAAAGTGAAACAAAAAAAAAGAAGATGTTGCTGGATCCCAAGTAAGTTTTTTGAGTGCAGACAACACAAAAGCGGAGAAGTAGATGTGCTCACGACAACGGAAAGTTGTTTGCACATACAGTTTTTCTCTTAAAATACAAATATGTACAGTGTAGAAGAGAGAAACAAATCCCTTTTTGGTATCGATCCTATTGATGCTAAGATCAATCTTCAAAATGAAAACATGTTATTTAGAGTATAGATATTTGAAGATCAATTTGCTACTAACTTTTAAATAGCCACAAATTCTATAAATCACGTACAGTATTGTAATAAATGCATTTTCTATTGGTGTAAGGTCACAAAAGAGTCCTATAGGGGTGTATTTTTTGCCTTACCAATTCTAGCATTTTTTTTTCACTGTATTATTCCTGTTGCCTTTTTATTTTTGTAGACTTACTTTTAATTAGTTTTTCAATAAACACTGTAAAATATGTTAATTAACTGTGTGAAACAACTTTAATTCTGAAAAGTATAATACAAATAATGTACAGTATATATTCTAATTAAAGCTGTAGTTGGCAACTTTTATAAAAATAACTGTTGTCTTTGATGAAACTATCACTACATCCAGACAGTAGCACATGAGACAGATAATGTGAAAAAATTCTGTTCTTCCTCCTTCTCCTAGTGCTTCTAATGGCATTTGCAAGAATGTACAATGCCTGAACAAAAACAGCCAATCGGAGCTGAGGAGTCTCTGTCACGATTGACATGACTGACAGCTACGTTACAGAGTCCTTGGCACTGAATGTTTTCATTTAGGTGCGGGAGATTCTAGCAGTTGCCATTAGGAACACTAGCAGTTTCATGGACTGTCACATGTACTACTATCAGAATAAAATGACAATTTGAGCAAATATAAAAACATATGTTTTCAATATGCAAGTGTACCTCTACTGTAGGTAGAGGAAAATGACATCCTGTGTGTTTTAGCTGTAAATAAGCTAATTCATTTCACACCTGACCAGTCAGTCAAATAGGCTGCTTTATCACTTCAATGTAACTTGAACTACACAAATATGGAGACCTGTAGCCTTTTTTGGCTTCATGGTGAAAGTGAGTCTCTGTTCTGCAGGTCATTTACCACCTTCATGAAGAATTTATAGTTTGATGGGGGGCAGACAAAAACTAAATTTCCATTTGGTGTAAACTGTTTGCAGTAAAGCACTGACTTGACTCCTGCAGAGAAGCTGGCCACAGGGAAGAAGAGGCCGTCAGAGTTGAAGTTCTCAAACATGCCTTGAACCGGCTGGCCGTTGATCCTGAAGGAGATGCTGGGCACACTGAGGTCCAGGCAGCAGCTCACCACATCCTCTGCTCTCAGAAGATGCTGATTAGGTGAGCTGACAGTCCGCGCAATGCAGCCTGCACAGTGAGGACACGGTTGAGTTTTAGTCTGCAATATGGGAGCATCTGAATTTTGAATCTGCCATCTGGAACAATCTGACTCCATATTCATAGAGCTGGGAGGTCATTTTATCTGAGTTCATCCAGTTTGCTTCCATATTTCATTAATAGCATTAAATTATTATCAAGTACTCGAGTACTAGCAGAAAAAAAATAAATTAAAAAAAAACCTTACAAAGGAATAGAGTTCAAAATGAACACTTTTTTTCAAAATTGTGGGAAGGGGTTGGGACTCAGTACTGCACAGAATATAGAGAATAGCTGTGTAAACACAAGTTTAAGGTTACATAGTTAACACTGCATACTCAGTTTATTCCGTTGAAATACTTCCAAACATCACTTGCCATTCTGCCTTTAACGTTAGATTGGGTGATATCTGACTGAAAACACTGAATGTTGTCATTTTTGCTATTTGGATCTGTGCAGATATTCATAGATAGCAGTTTAAGCACTGCATCCTATGCAAAAAATGTAAACTTTTCATAAAGAACATGGTCAGTTTACATTTCTATTTTAATTAATGTCTCTGCACCAGCCATAGCTGTGGCTGGGGCAACATGTTTTCAGTTTAACCATCCGTAAATCCCATTCTCATGAACACTATATCTCAAGAACATCTAAAGGAATTTTTTTTTTTTTTCCAAAGTTGGTACAAACATCTACTCTGACTCAACAATGAATTGATGAGAATTTGGTCATCAAAGGTCAAAGGTCAAGGTCACTGTGACCACATCAGTGACAACAATGAACTGATTAAAATTTGTTGATCGGAGGTTAAGGTCACTGTACCCTCATAAAACATATCTTGGGCTATAATCCAATAATTTATATGCTAGTTATGACAAATTTCATACAAATATCTAATAGCATAAAATGATGAAGTGAAACATTTTATAATCAAAAGGTCAGTGTTTAACTTCATCATAATGTTCTGCAAAAACCCTTTTCTGGCCATTATTTAATATCATATCTCAGGAACCGAAGGGAATATACTGAATTGGTGACACTAATCTTGGGTGCCCACCTTGAAACCAGAATGTATAGTTTTTTTATGCCTCTGTGCTGTGGCAACAGTCATGGCCTGAGGCCTGGGGAAAGATGTGTGTGAAGCATCCATGTTTTAACAGACATGGATGTAAACTGTAACTGCAACTTGACAGGTTTGCGGAGGCATACAGTAAAACCACTAGGCGGTAACTGTAATTCATATATGTTTTCTGTTACTTAGCCCCAAAAAAAAAGCAATTACTCTATACGTTGCCCTAATACTTATTTCTAAATCAAGTACACACACACACAGACCTCACCTGACCAAAGATGGAGTCCATCAAAGCCGTAGGAGTAGAGGTCATCACCCACCCCGTTGCCGCCCCACCCCTCACCCCCACTGGGGTAGGGTGCATAGCCACTGGTGTTAGCCCAGCCCACCCTGAGGTGAGAAGCCTCTGCTGTGACGAACGGCAGTGCCTGATCCACGATCAGCTCGTAGTACCACTTCCTATACTGAGCAGAGCCATCACTGACTCCCAGGAAGATGTTGGGACGCATGCTGTTGGGAAGATGAAACAGAGCAGAGACTGTTAATGGTCTGTCGGAAAATAACCTTCCACTGGGTTAGAATGGCAACTACTGTGCTGCCACTGAATTTTTTTATATGTCATATTTTGATTCAGTAAATACTGCAAATTGTGTGTGTGTGTGTGTGTGTGTGTGTATACCTGCTTACGTGGTTGATCAGGCGGGTCTGCAGTAGCAGATCTCTTCCTGGCAGCAGGTTGTCACAGATCAGGTGCTGGTTGGAGCGCACTGCCACGCCGTGACACACACACAGTGAACACAACACATCCAGAACCTAAATGGTACACACAAACCACATAATATGTCAGTGTTGTAAACTATTGTTAAAGCATCAACACAGACATACAAAGAGACTGAACTGCAGGATTCCTGACAGATGTTATTTGGACAGGCTACAGCTCCATGTCACATGCTGTCTTCTTTGCCGTGAGAAATGTTTTGTCGTTCTATCATCCTGTTCAGTGAGTGCTCCCCTGGGACTGCTATTCCACGTGGGATTTTAAACAAAAATAATTTGAGAAAGGTGCCTAACTTTTGGTTTCAAAGTGTATTATGGAAGCCGTTGTGTTAAACTTAAATACATATAAATGAACAAATGTCTATGTATATCACTAACAATAAAGTAAGTGACCATACCTTGTGGTTGCGTCCATGCTTGTCCAGCAGGGATATGATGGATTTGATGTGCCCCTCTTTGATTATGTTCAGTGCCTCAGGACTCTCCACCAGCACACAGTGAAGCACCTCCAGTATACCTACAAATACAAAATATGTGTAGTATAAATTATTACGTGTACAGAAAGCATTCAAAACCAGGGGCCAGATTCAGAAATCACCTAAGGCTAAAAGTAGACTCTGTTCTAAGAATAAGTCAGAAAGCATTTTAGTGGCTCCTGAATCATTGAGACCTGCTCACAAGTCAGCTGTGTGCCTAACTGGGCCTCATGCAGGAAGCTATTTTTGAACATTTATTCTTCTCTTCTTTTTTTCCACAATTTGTTCTTAGTTTGTTAGTACGCATTGATTTCTGGGATCGACCAGTGTTAGCTTTTCTATTTGAATAGAGAAAATTATGCAAGTGCTTGAGAGCACTCTTACCAAGATAGAAAAACATCTAATTTTCACAGTAAATTTAATTGTTATATTTGGGTAACATTTTTAAAATGCATGAATATCCTATCATCAAATTTAGATTATAATGTATTTTAGAGTCATTATAATAATTGGATTATTGTCCCCTGGAGACCATCGAGGAGGTGGGTGAGAGGAGGATGTTAGCCAAGCTGATATCCATCATGGACAACACCTCTCACTCCCTGTATGAGACTGTCCGTGCACTGAGCAGCTCATCCAGCAGCAGACTGCTGCACCCACCTTGCACGAAGGAGCGCTACCACAGGTCATTCATCCCATCAGCTGTCAGACTCTTTAACAGCAACATCTGATGTAATGTAGCACTGTCATGTCTGCTGCATAACACTGTATAAAATCATCGCTGCTAAGACCCTGTGCTTTTTACATACTCACTGCAATATTCCGCATCCATTGTGTATATAGTGTAAATAATCTTGTGTGTGCAGTTCATTCATTGTAGTGCCTTACTTTTTTATATATATATTTTTATATTTTAAATCCAGAA